ACGTCTCCCGGTGGGCAAACCGCTGGATGTGTGCAGGGATGAGCTGAACCCGATCGTCCAGTGCATCATTCTCAAGCTTTGATAGAACATCTGCCTCAGCATTTTCTATTCGAGAAACCTGATCGAGGATTACTTGTTCAAATTTTCTGATTTGTTCCTCGACCAGTTCCTTGTAGGCTTTCATTCTATCCTCTTTTGCTTCAGCAGTTCCATTCACCTGGCCAACCACCAGCTGACTATCCAAACAAACTTTCAGCCGATCGGAATCTAGGGCTTTGGCATACTTTAAACCTGCAATAAGGGTCTCATACTCGGTCTCATTGTTAGTCACTTTAGAATCAAAATGAATGGAATAGTATGCCTTGAGGCTTGAACCCCTCAGGAGATGTGATCACAACTCCACCACCACAACCCTTTGCACTTGAGGCACCATCCACGTACATCTCCCACCATTTATCCAGGACGTCTTTGTTCAAATCACTCTTCGATGGCCGAGCGGTACATTCTGCTATGAAATCTGCTAAGGCCTGACCTTTAATTTTAGGCCGCGGCTTGAAGTTTACTTCATACTGCATGATCAGGAGTGACCACTTGGTAATGCGTCCACTAGCCATCGAGTTCCTCAGGATTGTGGCGAGCGACTGAGTTGTAAAAACAGTTATCGGATGGGCCTGAAACTACGGTGCCAGACGTTTGATAGCCGCTATCAAGGCCAGAATGGTTTTCTCCATCAAGGTGTACCATGTTTTGGGGTCGTTCAGGGCCTTGCTGACAAAATAGATTGGCTATTAAACCCAATCGATCTCCTTCAACAGTACCGAACTAACAGTAAGATCGGCCATTGCGAGATACATATACAAATTCTCCCCTAGATCAGCCTTGGTTAGGACCAGGGGGAAGATAGGTAGGTTTTGAAATCTTCAAAGGCCATTTGACACTCTGCTATCCACTCGAATGGGTTGGACTTTTTCATGATCTGGAAAAATGGGATTGCTCGATCGGCCAGTTTGGAGAGGAACCTGCTCAATGCGGCTGGCCGACCGGTTAACCTCTAAACCTCCTTTAGGTTCCTGGGTTCTTCCATGTCCATTATTGTTCTGGTTTTTTCAGGATTAGGTTCAATCCCCCATTCGCTCATCATGTATCCCAAGAATTTTCTCCCTTAACTGCGAAAGCACACTTCTTGGGATTTAGCCTCATGTTGGCCTTCCTCATGATTCTGAAGACTTCCTCCATGCCCCGAACGTGATCCTCCTTCCTTCTGCTTTTGATTAGGATGCCATCCACATAAGCTTCCATGGTGACCCCCAACACTTCTTTGAACAACATCCTGATCATTCTTTTGAAGGTGGTCATAACATTCTTCAACCCGAACGGCATGACAATGTAGCAAAATACCCCGTCCGAGGTGACGAATGATTTTTTCTCAGCATAAGTCGAGTGCATAAAGATCTGGTGATACCCCTGAAAGGCATCCATGAAGCTCAACAATTCACACCCGGCAGTTTCATCCACCAGTAAATCAATCCGGGGCACCAGATAAGGATCCATGGGGCAGGCCTTGTTCAGATAAGATTAATCAACGCACATCCTCCAAGTTGGCCCCTTCGGGGCGAGGACTACATTAGACAACCATTCCACGTGGATCACTGGCCTGATGTGCTTGATTTTCAGCAGTGTGGCCACCTCCCGCTTGGTGAAATCTCGTCGTTTGGCTGCCTGGTATCATTTTTTCTGTTGGACCGGTTTAACATCGGGCCGAATGGCTAACTCATGACAAATAATTTACGGGTTAATGCCCCGCATATCTTCTGGCCCTCTGGCAAATAGGACCTGGAATTCCTTCAGTACTGCAATCACCCCATCCCGAATCTCAAGCCCCAAATCCACTCCAATGGCAACCTACCAATCAGAGGGTGGGTCTGGCTCAATATACTCCAACAAGGTGGCTGGCTCGGGGCGTGCGATAAATTCCGTCCGGTGGGTCTCCTCCATGATGCTATTCACCCGCAGGTCCCGGTCATTTATCTTTTTCATTGCTTCCCTGTAACAGCTCCGGGCTATAGCTGGGTCTGTTCGGGCTACCCCAACTCCCGTGTCAATTGGGAATTTGATGCAGGAGTGCTGGACTGAAGCGATTGCCTCCAAATCTTCTAACCCGAGTCGGCCTAATATGGCATTGTGGGCGCATTCAATGCTCACCACCACAAACGTCATCTGGATAGCCGCCCGGTGTCCCTTATCTCAAATCTCGACCAGAAGCGAGATAGTCCCTTCTGCATCGATACAATTCCCTGTAAACTCGCCAGCAGAGTTTTCAGGGGTGTGATCCGGTCTCTCCCCAACTTCATTCTCTCAAACGTTCGTAAGTACAGAACGTTGACACTGCTTCTGGTATCCACCAGCACTCGGCGGATCAGGGCATTATCAATGCACATACTCACCACCAACTCATCCATGTGCGGACTTGGTGATGCAGACAGATCCGCAGGACCGAACATGATTGGTTCGATCATGCCCTTCTTCTGAGGTGGATCAGAGATGGAAGCCACCAGTAGGCTCTGTTCGAACCTCTTTCGTTCACCAATTTCTCCCCCTCCAAAGGTTACCTTAACCTCCATCCTGGGATTCTTCCCTGGATTGCCCAATCCTTCAGCCTCATCCCAGGACGGTATTTATGCATCATTTCGTGGTTGAGCATCTCGCTGAACATCCCTCCTCCAGTTTTTGAATTTTTTGTACTGGTTTCAAGGGGGGCCTACGGCGTTGGGGTCCATGTTTACGTACTTCCTCAAATAACCCTGCTGGATCAGTTCTTCGATAGCTATTTGAAACGCCCGACATGTTTTGGTGGAATTCCCCATCCTTTTGTGGTACTGACAATAGGCGTCATCACGTCCCATGTAATCCGTTGTGTCTGTTGGAGGGGGGGTCACGTTCTTCTCATTCTGAAAAATGGTCGCAATAGAGAGGACGAGCGGAGTAAACCGATTCTGCTTAGGAATACTCGCGGCCGCTGGGGTGGGACCCAGCCGATCGGCCAATTTTAGGGGCGCAACAGCGAGTGTTGTCTTATCCCTGGTCCTTATTTCCTCTTCGAGGACTGCATGTCTCTGAGCCCGTTCTAGTACCTCAGCATAACTGATGCCTGGGTTTTTCTTTAAATCCTTGTATAACTCCCCGGTTTGTAGGGCATTGGTAAATAATGTGTTTCCCGTGCAATCGGTCAAGTTCTCGACCTTTAGTGTCTCATCCCTCCACCTAGTTAGAAACTGGGTGATGGATTCCTTAGGCCTCTGGCAGACACTAGTAAGATAACTAAAGTGCCGCTTCGGGGTAGCACTTGAGACAAACTGCGGCAGGAACAAAGTGGATAGTGCGAAAAAACTCCCGATCGACCCAGGTTGCAATTGGCTGAACCATTCCTGGCCAGGTCCTCGGAGAGTGCTAAAAAATAATCTATAAATTGCCTTTTCTGAGTCTCCCAAAAGCATGAGCCCTCCCTGGTAGCTCATCAGATGTGCATTGGGGTCTCCCACCCCATTATAAACTTGCCCGATCGAGGGTCTGCAATCCCTTTAGATTTCTATTTCCATTATCTCCCTTGTGAAGGGAGATGTGATCCCCACACGGGGTGGTGGGGACGTCTGATTTTGTTGACGAGTAAAGTCGTCAACCTGCCTTTGTAATGCGGCCAGGGCCTCATCCTGGGCTGTTCGGGGAGGAGTCACCAGATCGACCCTCTCTGGGGTCCTTTCCGTTCGGGGCATGGTTGCTCCCTGGTTTCTCCTGATGAAGCGATTTCCATCCCTTTCCTCATACTGGAAACATTGACCCACCGGGTTTATCACCGGACTTCTCTCCCTGGACTGGGTCTCGTTCCTGCGGGAGAATTGGGTTTGTTAGGAAGGAGTACGTTGCTGGTATCTGGACATATGCACCCCCCTTTGATTCTCGTGCCCCTTCGTGAGTGTACCGAGGCCCTGGAGGATTCTGTTTCCTCAGTATAGTCGTCCAACGTCTGCATGTTGTGGATCAGGGATGGAGTAGTGTATTCAGTATCTCCAGTATAGGTGGAGTATCCTTCGTCATGCGTTTCATTCATTCGGCGCATAAGATCTGCCATTTCCTGCATGAGTTGTGGATTTCTTCTTGCTTTTTCTGGGATCAGATGGGTGAAATCCCCGTCATGTCCCTGGTTTTGCTTGCTGGTAGCACATCTCTCCGTTCTCCAGGTTCTGGAGGACCCGCTGCCATGCTGGGCCCTGGAAGTACCATGAGTATTTTCAGAAGTCATTCTGACCATGTCGACGTGTGCAAATTTGCTTAAATCAGTATTTTGCTTTGGAAACTTTTTGTTAGGTTCCCACAGACGGTGCCAATGTTGAGGTTTAATCCCATAGATCCGAAAGCCCAACACACGCTTTGGATATTAAGGATGTGGATATTATCTCGAGGGTAAAAGAAAATATAAAAACTGAAAGATGTTGTACTCAAAAGCCCACTTGCATTCAGTAAATCGTTGATTACACAGAAAACTTCCCGAACGGTAAGTTGGAATAATGTTTAATACAAGAACAAGAGTGAGAAAGTTATTATAGGCCTTGAGTATCAAAATGCTAACTCTTACAATGAATTCAATGATGTTATTTATACTAGACGGAGATAGATGGGGGTATGGGGTGCCCCAATATGATTGGTTGTCTCCCTTGCCACTTGAGGTCTCCATAATCCAGCAATAAATGCAGTCGGTTACTTGAGAGAATCCCGACCAGTATTACGAACCATTGAGCTAATGACCCGGTTAAGAACTAACTGTCCAAGTGTCAATTACGTTCTGTTCGGAAGGTGCCGAACGGAAGTCTTTCTTGAACCACTGAATTCTCGAACGGGCGATCAATTTCTCCTTGGACTTTTCCCGTTTTCTGGGCCCTAGGGATATTTTGGACCGATATATTAGGTCGGATCTTAATATCCCATCACATGGTATTTAGTTAGGGCGGTGATGGTAGTGGACCAACTGGGATGAGTGATCCACATATATTATTATTTGTTTGTAATGTATGTATAATTAAAATAAGGTGAAAATAATTTAAAGGAAAAAAGGGTCAAATAAGCTCGTTTACTATTGCAAAAAGCATCACCTAAACCAGTCTACTAAAAAAAGTATCACTCAAATATGTACTATAAAAATCCATCAATGGGGTCAAGCTAAGTGACCTAATAACAAGTAACAACTTATAATCGGAGGTCATTCACTTTTTGTTTTTGGGTTTTCTTTTACTACCCAAGCTATTCTAGCGGCTCTTTTCTTGTTTCCCGGCCCTCACTTTAATTTCTTTTTCTTTTTTTCGTTATCTTCATTCTTCATTTTCTTTTCCTGAGAGAATGACGGAACATAGTACGTTTCTTGCAGGCGTTTCTAAAAAGTGTAGGTTTGACCAAATTATTATTTGAAACGGTGAAACTTATTTGGCAAATATGTTCAGTATTTGCAAAAACAAAAAATATGTACGTGAACATATTTGGTGAATCTATCCATCTTCCTATTGGCCAATAATATTGGGCACGGATCACCATCTTGGATCGCCAATTGAAGAGCGTGGATCGGCGTTTACTTGAACATATTCGGTGAATATGTCCGTGCTCATATCGGTCAGAATAAGTTGCCTCGGATCGCCAATTATTCGAACATATTTGACGAATCTCCTCTATAAAATCCACCACAAATCACACTTCACAACACATCTAACCGCTCCAATTTCTCTTCCTCTCCAAATTTTGGCCATCTCCTTCATCTTAACCCAAGTAAGTTTTCCTTAATCTTTTTTAGTTTAATTTAGTTAATAATTTAATGATGGTACTTAGGAATGAAATTAGTCTATAATAGTGTTAATTTTTAATTGTGAATTAGGAACCTATCAAAAAATTGAAATATGAAACTTACCGAATATCAGTTTATTTACCAAATAGGAAAGATTAGTGTTAATTTACCGAATATGTATGTGTAAATTTAGTAATGTGCATGTTAACCTTATTTTTAATAATTTTTTCACCATCCGTATGTAGAAATCTTTCCTATTTCGGTGTACAATAGTTTATCTTTATTTTCTTTCTTTTCCTTTTGGTGGTGATATCATGTATCGATTCATGTTAGCCGACCTCAATATCTTTTGGGACTAAGGCTTGGATGTTGTTGTTGTTGTATGAAATATTATTAGTCTATAGTTAATGTTAATTTTTAATTATAAAATAAAAAATTTAATTAATTTTAAAAATTATATGGTATATATGTGTTAATTAGTGATATTTAAATATTTGATGATATATAAGATGGAAATACAATAAATTGTACGCATTATATGTTATATCCACTTATTTTACTTATTAATTATTGTAGATCAATAGTTGTCGTCGGAGAATTTTATTTTAAAATAGTAGTCTTGTTGTCGTTTAATAAGGTGTATTTTTTTGTATTACAGATTGTATTATAAGTAGTGTTTTTTAATTAGATTTATAATTTGTATTATAAATAGTGTTGTTTAATTAAATTTGTAATTAGGTACGGAGTACTAGAAATTGTATTATAATAGTGTTGTTTAATTACATTTATAATTCATATTACACATATGAGTGTTGAATAGAAATTAATTTAATAATTATTAGGTTTTCATGGCTACACAAAGAAAACACCCTCACCCCGGGCCCATAAAACGTTCTGTATTGATGATGAGATCTGGAGAACATCGTGCTGATCATGTGTGGAAAACTGAAGCGTTGAGACCCGAATTTGTTCAAGCTCATCTAGAATCAGCTATCACGGTTAGTATTTAGGAGTGTTTAGTATTCTCAAATAATGTAATACTTCACAGTATTAATTGTGTGAATTTATATTGTAGACTCGATGTTTGGGGGAGGTTGCTCGGGAAATGCGTGACAGAGGTGACCCTCGAGATTATCCGATGCTGGAGCGAATCAGGATTTGCCTAAGGTGAATAGGTGCAGAAGAAGTGATGGATCACGACATAATCACATTTGAAAATGTTGATGAAGGACACACATCAGCCGATGGCCATGGTCAACCGAGCGGACCCACATGATATGGGTTACATGATGACGATACATATCATGATACACTCATGGAGCCCCCATTCACAGTTGGTAGTTCCTATCATGCACATGAAGTTCCCGAACATCAGGAGTGGGCTGATTTTAATTGGGCTGATTTATTTGGCAATGATCACTTCAGTGGAGCAACCGGCGGTGCAGGGCCGAGCTCACAATATTAGTTTATAATATGAGTATTAGTGTAATAGTATTAATATTAATGTAATAATATCTTTGTGTGATGTAATTAGTTTAATAATATGAATGTTATTGTCATAATATTCATATTAGTGAAATAACATCCCTCCGTCATGTAATAAAATTAGTGTAATAACATTGTTTTGAAGCAACAATATTAGTTTAATAATATCACAACTACTCTATTAATCTCAACTACCACATCCAACCCATCTACTTTATTTACTTCACCTCCACAACTACTCTATTTATCTCAACTCACATCCACCTCACCTAACTATTATACTATAAATAGGGAGCTTCACCACTCTCAAACATACTTCTTTCTCTCTACTATCATATCTATAAAGTATTATATGACATGTCTAGGGAGGGTAGCATAGTTGTTCGTGTGCATCGAAATGGGGTGTTGACTGAAATTAATAATGAAGCCAATTACTCTACGTATCCAAATGCTGCACTTTTTTTTAGTGATCATACTACATATACAACACTATGTGAGCGCATTATGCAAGAAATGTCCCGTGAAGGTTTATATGATATGAGAACCATTCATGGAAAATTTCCCACATATAATTCTGAGGGAATATGTGTTGCCTCCATGTCGTGGCCTATCCATGACATTGGAGATATACATCAATGCTGAAAAGATGCAAATGGTTGATCCATCTCAGCAACAGACTTCTAGGCGTCCTCCTAACCAAGGCACTTCCCAGTCAATGATTGACATCAATGTCCCCCATGATGCTTCGTATAGTGACGATGATCTTGATTATAATGCTCTTTCCTTTTCTGAACACAAGAGCAGTTCCGAAGACAATGATGATAACCCAAACGAGGACGAGGACAATGAGGAGTTTGTTGAATCCTCATATCGTGAATAACGACCCATATATGTGGGTAGAGTATATGATACATTCGAAGAGTTGAAGGAAGACGTGTCCCTTCAAAACCTCAAAGAATTTCGAACATTTCGTAGTGAGGCAAAACACATAAATTATTGGCGAGCAAAGTGTGTATATGATGACGCTTGTGTGTGGCATATTCAAGCATCACAAATCAAACACACCACACAATGGAAAGTCAACCGGCAACACGATTTCATTCCCAACTACACATGAGGTAAGAACGATAAACTTCTCACAAGTAAGTTAATTGCCTCTGAAATAGGGTCCAAGATTTATGTTAAGACCGATTATAGTGTAAAGCTCATCATGCATGAAAGACGCCCACCATGTGTGTAGTTGTTTATCGGGCTATAATCAGGCTTAACAGAAATCCTAGACCCTATTTCAGAGGCAGTTAACTTACTTGTGAGAAGTTTATCGTTCTTACCTCGTGTGTAGTTGGGAATGCAATCGTGTTGCGTCATCATAATTTATGCATTTCACCTCACTACGAAATGTTCGAAATTCTTTGAGGTTTTGAAGGGACATATCTTCCTTCAACTCTTCGAATGTATCATATACTCTACCCACATATATGAGTCGTTCTTCACAATATGTGGGTTCAACGAACTCCTCCTTGTCCTCGTCCTCGTTTGGGTTATCATCACTGTCTTCGGAACTGCTCTCGTGTTCAGAAAAGGAAAGAGTGTTATAATCAGGATCATCGTCACTATACGAAGCATCATGGGGGACATGGATGTCAATCATTGTCGGGAAAGTGCCTTGGTTGGGAGCACGCCTAGAAGTGCGTTGTTGAGATGGGTCAACCATTTGCATCTTTTCGGCATTGATGTATATCTCCAATCGTTCGTATTGATTGCGAGCAAATTGTAGAAAATAGATCCATGACTAGTCGTCATGGATAGGCCACGACATGGAGGCAACACATATTCCCTCGGAATTCTATGTGGGAAATTTTCCATGAATGGTTCTCATACCATATAAACCTTCACGGGACATGTCTTGCATAATGCGCTCACATATTGTTGCATATGTAGTATGATCACTAAAAAAGTGCAGCATTTGGATACGTAGAGTAATTGACTTCATTATTAATTTCAGTCAACACCCCATTCAAATGCAGAAGAACAACTATGCTACCCTCACTAAACATGTTATACTCATATACTTTATAGATATAATAATAGTAGAGAGAAAGAAGTTTGTTTGAGAGTTGTGAAAATGAGTGTGGTGAAGCTCCCTGTTTATAGTAATATAGTTGGGTGAGGTGGATGTGGTAGTTGAGATAAAAAGAGTAGTTATGGAGGTTACGTATATAAAGTAGACGGGTTGGATGTGGTTGGTAGTTGAGATTAATAGAGTAGTTGTGATATTATTAAACTAATATTGTTGCTTCAAAAAATATTACTCCTAATATTGGTACGGAAGGGAGTGGTGTGGTTTTTAAGAAAAGTAGAATTATGTGGTTGGTAATGAGTTGATAAAGTGGAAATAAAGAAAGAATGAATTAGAGCCACACAAATGTTACCAAATATGGTATGAGACAATAATAAAGGGACATCCAAAACTGAAAGAATGGAATAATTATAGGGGGACGGAGGGAGTATTACACTAATTTTATTACACGACGGAGGGATATTATTTCACTAATATGAATATTATGACAATAACATTCATATTATTAAACTAATTACATCACAAAAAGATATTATTACATTAATATTAATACTATTACACTAATACTCATATTATAAACTAATATTGTGAGCTCGGCCCTGCACCGTCGGTCGCTCCACTGAAGTGATCATTGTCAAATAAATCAGCCCAATTAAAATCAGCCCACTGCTGATGTTCAGGAACTTCATGTGCGTGATAGGAACTACCAACTGTGGACAGGGGCTCCATGGGTGTATCATGATATGTATCGTCATCATGTAACTCATATCATGTGGATCTGCTCGGTTGGCCATGGCCATCAGGTGATGTGTGTCCTTCATCAACATTTTAAAATGTGATTATGTCTTGATCTATCACTTCTTCTGCACCTATTCGCCTTAAGCAATTCCTGATTCGCTCCAGCATCGGATAATCTCGAGGGTCACCCCTGTCACGCATTTCCCGAGCAACCTCCCCCAAACATCGAGTCTACAATATAAACTTACACCATTAATAATGTGAATTATTACATTACTTGAGAATACTAAACACTCTTAAATACTAACCGTGATAACTAATTCTGGATGAGCTGGAACAAATTCGGGTCTCAACGCTTCAGTTTTCAACACATGATCAACATGATGTTCTCCGGGTCTCATCACCAATACATGACGTTTTATATATAGGCCCAGGGTGAGGGTGTTATCTTTGTGTAGCCATGAAAACCTAATAATATGTTAAATTAATTTCTATTCAACACTCATACGTGTAATACGAATTATAAATGTAATTAAACAACACTATTATAATACAATTTATAATACTTCGTACCTAATTAAAAATTTAATTAAAGAACACTATTTATAATACAAATTATAAATCTAATTAAAAAACACTACTTATAATACAATCTGTAATACAAAAAAAATACACCTAATTAAAAAACAACACTACTATTTTAAAATAAAATTCTCCGACTACAACTATTGATCTACAATAATTAATAAATAAAATAATTGAATATAACATATAATGTGTACAATTTATTGTATTTCCATCTTATATATCATCAAATATTTAAATATCACTAATTAACACATATATACCATATAATTTTTAACACTAATTAAAAAATTTATTTCATAATTAAAAATTAACATTAACTATAGACTAATAATATTTCATAAATTAACACAAATTATAGACTAATTTGTACACCGAAATAGGAAAGATTTCTACATACGTATGGTGAAAAAATTATTAAAAATAAGGTTAACATGCACATTAGTAAATTTACACATACATATTCGGTAAATTAACACTAATCTTTCCTATTTGGTAACTAAACTAATACTCCGTATTTGGTAAGTTTCCTATTTCACTTTGTTTGATAGGTTCCTAATTCACAATTAAAAATTAACACTATTATAGACTAATTTCATTCCTAAGTAACATAATTAAATTATTAACTAAATTAAACTAAAAAAGATTAAGGAAAACTTACTTGGGTTAAGATGAAGGAGATGGCCGAAATTTGGAGAAGAGGAGAAATTGGAGCGGTAAGATGTGTTGTGAAGTGTGATTTGTGGTTGATTTTATAGAGCAGATTCGCCAAATATGTTCGAATAATTGGCGATCCGAGCCGACTTATTCTGACCAATAGGAGCACGGACATATTCACCAAATATGTTCAAGTAAAAGCCGATCCACGCCCTATAATTGACGATCCAAGATGATGATCCGCGCCCAATATTATTGGCCAATAGGAAGATGGACAGGTTCACCAAATATGTTTAGGTACATATTTTTTTGTTTTTGCAAATATTGAACATATTTGACAAATATGTTTCATCTTTCAAATACTCCCTCCGTCCCTTATAACTTTGCCAACTTTCCTTTTTCGGTTGTCCCAAAAACTTTGCCACTTTCCCTTTTAATCAATCAATTTGTGGCTCCAGTTATTTCTCTCTCCTCTTCACAAATCTCTACCGCATAGTTTTTACTTTATTATTCTACGTGTCGGTCAAACTTGGCAATCCTTTTAGGGACGGAGGGAGTAATAATTTGATCAAATCTACACTTTTTGGAAACACTGCGAGAAACATTCTCTGTTTCGTCATTCTTTCTTCTATGTATAGTACTTTGTTATTGTTTGTCTCCCTTTTGTTCCTTATTTCCCTTTTGTCTTTTCTTTTTACTTTCCTTTTAGTTCTTTTTTCTTCTTTATATTCTTTCTTCTTCCTTCGTTTTTGGAATAAAACATGTCCAATTGTATATTATATTTTTTGCACACATTTCCAACTTTTTTTACACTGATACTTTTTTCATTAAAATTAGGCAACAGATAAAAATGTCAATTAAAAAAAATACAATTTTATAGGTAATCAATGTCTGGCATGGACAAATAAAAGTTTCATACGATGTCTAAAAAAATTGTGTAACTTTTGTACACATTCTCAAAAATATACGTACAGACAGATATTGCTTTAATGTTAGACCATAGACAAAAAACATCGATCGGAGAAATCCAATTTTACAGAAAATAAGTGTTACATACATATAAAAATGTGTAAACAGGGTAAAAAGTTGTGCTCTCTCCGTCCGAAAATGTTTGCCAAATTGACTTTTCTTGATTAATAGTAATCAATTTTGACCAATAATATATTTAATATGAATTTATTTTTAATAGGAAATTATATTAAAATGTTCCTTATTAAAAAAATTCCATAAATGTATAAATTTATAAATTATAAATAAATGTAATAATTAAAATCATTGTCCAAAGTTTGTCATCATTGACCAAGAAAGGTCAATATGGCTAATCGTTTTGGGGTGAAGGTAGTATATTGTTCGCACACACTTTCAAACTCCTTTGTACCGACAATTTTTGTTTTTAAATTTTGGACAAAGAAAAAAATACCAGTCCAAAAAAATTCACTTTTGCAAACAATAAATTTTTGGCACAAAGAGTACACCAAATTTTATTGTGTCTGGATCATTTTTGAGTATGCTAGACTTTTTGTCTTTAAAAGTGGACTTCTACTATATCTTGATGCATGATCTTATCTACAAAAATTATCTATATGGTTTTCATTTGATTGTGAATAAAAAGCATATAATGTTTTTAACTACTCTCTAACATTTTTGTCTGTGTCACACTGTTTTATTATCTATAAAAGTTGAATTTTACTACCGACATTTTTGTATATTGTCTAACCTTAGAGTAAAACATTGTATCTGCGAAAGATTTTGAAAATGTGTACAAAAAGTGTATAATATTTGTATTCGTCTTTAAAGTTACAACTTTAATCGTGCCCAAGTTACAAATACACAATAATGTTAATTCAGTTTTAATGATAAGAACTACGTAGTACATTTTAATATGACCAATAACTATTTGGTATAGACAAATAAAGTATAGTATGTGTTAGACAATTAATATCCGGCACAAATAAATAAAAACTGGCTAATTTACTTCTTCCAAGAATGAACATTATTTATTAATCAAAGATAATAGATATTTATTGTAATAATTAGAAGGAAATGTCTAAAAGCATTTCTTGAGAGAAAACAACATAAAAGGAACTAAGGGAAAAGAGGAATAAGAAAAACTAAACCACAAATGAGTGCAGCCAAGAAGCAGGCGACGATTGAGAAATTAATAAAAAAAATGAGAAAGAAAGTAAAAACAACCAAGCGGGTGACATCATGGTAGATTGGTAGGAGTAAATAAAAGAAAGAAAATGAAACTTCTGTACGGTGTGTACAATGTCATAACTTGCAATAGATTTTAGTTATCCGGTCATTTGAGATACTTATACGACACTTTATTGAGTGCATGCTCCTATGTGACTATTTCATAATAGTAGAAAACCTTATTTGATCATTTTCTCCTAATATAACTATCCTGAACTTTATATAAAAAATATAATTTAGCATGATGACTATATGTTATTTCTTTCACAAATGCAAATTTATAGTTTTGAGTAAATAATATAAATATTCTAAGCATTTTGCAGTGTGTAATTAACATTATAAACTAATTTGTTAATGTTATTTATTTAAAATATTGAAGGTTAGGTAATAATTTCATCCTTATAAGTAGTGCCCAAAGTATTTTAAATTTTATATTTCAACACTATAAATTTACATTTGTGAAAGCAAAAACATATTATGATGGTGCTAATATATTTTTCTTATAAACCTTGGGTATTTTTATTACATATGCAAATTTGGGATGCTCACCACACCTCACTTAAAAATTTAAGGTATTTAAATTATTTCCCCTAAAGTAGTAAATGTAATATGGAGTATTTAATAAGGGTATAAAAATGTAAATATGATGTTTTTTATTGAATTAAAATTTTCTCTAGTTGTTCAAGCGTGATATAGACTATTTAAGTACTTCATATTTGCCGAAAAAGGCTATTTAAGTAATGATATTCGTATCATTAGAGACGTTTTTAATTGGACTAGTTCAAGGGTTGGTTTCCGCCGCTAGGGTTATTTCCCCGCTATCATTTGTAATGAGGAGCGATCGCTGCAGGCGAGCTTAGGCGTATCGGGTTTCTTCTTCCGCCATCAATTGTGCGGCTATTTTTCTTCTTTTGCTTTGGCGAGATTAAGTGGAGTGAAGAGGATGTTTGATCTCCAACAATCGAAGGTTGTGCAGGGATGGAAGATGGATGCTTGGTTTCCGACGGCCAAAGGTCATGGACAAAGCGTGGGACTAGAGGCTTGAACATATCTCGATTCGAGGTCATTTGTGTTAGGTGCCAACAAAGGAGACTTGCTAGAGGCTAAGACAAGAGGCAAGGTGAGGAAGAAGCTACAGTACTATTGAATCGTCCCCCACCTGAACCGCCACCATGTAGTGCAGAACAGTCTAGGGTTTGGAAACAATATTTCAATTTTAGTATTTGCTTGATATTTATTTTTCATGATCAGACTGTTAATTTTTCTGTTAGTTGTTTTTATTGTTGTAAGATTCTTACATTAAGATTGAGTGATGGGAGACCTGCTTTAATCGTCTTTAGCTCATTTGCGCCTAGTAAAGGATCATCAAGTTATATTATTTTTCGAAGATAATTAACTATAAGTCTGATCCTTTCATTTTTTAACTCATATCTGAATGTTGTGATATCAATTTAAGATTTTTCAACAAAAAAAGAATTGATCTCTAGTCTTTGCCTCTCTGGGAGTTGAAACTCGTCCAAAGTAAAAATATTCTGCCGTTAATCAAAAGAAATTATGTTAGCAACTTTACTTGGTGTACACCAAATGTGTACACCTTTTGTGTACACATGTCTGTCCCCAGCAGACAAATTTCTGTCCTCATGTGTGTCCAGACATGTGTGTGGATAGACATGTGTAAACAAAATGTGTACATGATGTAGTGCATTTTTCTTATGTTAGTAACTTGAAGAAAAAGGCCTGCAATTCGGTGGTTAGTGATTTTGATTTATAAAAAAAATTGCGTAATCACAGTCAAAAGTGACGCACCATCTTAATCTGTTCTCACCTGCAGTTGCCTATGTAAGGCGAGAAACCCAAATATCCATTATCCAGCTCTAGATAATTCGGGCAGAATCATTGAGATTCGTGGAATGGAATCGTCATCTTCATCCTCAATCATAACTCCCGAAGATGTGCTGGAGACTCTGATGAACGACGGCACAATTGACGCCATCCGACTGAAAATCATCTCTCAGCTCAAAGCCAATGTAATCCCAAAATTCAATTTTTCTCAATTTTTGGATTTTGAAAATTATTTCATTAGTTGCTGCTTTCTTTTGCGTGTTTAATGTTATTCGATGCTGATGATACAATATTGTTTATCTGATCAAGGAAGAACTGAAGAATACAACCATAAAAATGGTGGAACAGAGTAAGGTTCTGAACACTCCAGGGGCTGAGAAGCAGACCAAAAGAGAGCTTTTTGATGCACTTCGTCAAGAACTTGAGTGAGACCATCTTTCTTTCGAAATCTATTGTTCATGTTGTTTTCACCCTGCTTGGCTTAGGATACTGCTGGTTAGAATTCAAAATTCTATTTTGAGAATTGACTTTCTTTGTTAGATACGTAGATTAAACCTTTATGTTCAGGCAGAATGGCAGATCGTGTGGATTTTTTGTTTATATTACGAGTATTAAAGTGTAATTGTAAAGAACCTCAATCTGAAGTTACTCTACTACCAGTTTTTTTACTCCCTCCTTGGCTCCTTGCAAAATCATTCATGTTCATTAGGGTACATTACTTTTAATTGTGGTAATGTATAACCCTTCAAATTATTAATCCTACTTTTTTTTTCTCAAATTTGATTGTTTGCTCAACTAAATTTAAAGATTCTAAGTTTAACGTACTTAATTTGTTTGTAACTCTTTATATTGGAAAACTTACAATAAGTTCAATGCAAATTAGCTTCTTGTGTTGATATATGAATCTTTTTTGGACAAAAAATAGTTTTCAAACAAGATCATTTTTGGACGGAGTAAGTTTTCATTTTTTTTTTGTTGGGGGGAGGGGGGGGGGGGATTGAGATTAGTCCCCACTCCCCAATCCTTTTAATGTTCTCTTGTAATCAGTTTAATATTTAAATACCTTTTACAATTAGTGAGCTGACTTGAATAGCAAACCCTCTTATATCTCTTACTACTACATTCGGATTTCATAGATAGCGACTCTCATATTAGATTGGAAAGTAAAGTGCCACGAGTCCATGTGGGATTGAAGGGCGTAGGGGAGCTCACACTATGTTGATGTGAAGTTCATCAATCCAAAAAAAGTAAAATACACAGCATAATGCAGGTTTTAGACTTTTAGTCAGGACCTGATCTTTGAAACTTCTAGAACCAAAGAAGTGGATGGTTATTTTCTATCGGGGTATAGAATCTTTCTTCTTTTCTTTTACTGGGCTTAAGTTGAAGCAATTAAAAAAGTGTAGTCTAGAATTTCAAAGCATCTAGTGGTATGTTTGAATGGAGTGTTTAGAAGGGATTGGGATGCGCAGTCTATATCATTGCATGATATATGAAATTTCATAAGAATGAAAATTTAACACAATATATTATTGTATACATTTCAATAACCTTTTATTCATTTTCTAGAAACATTTTACTCTAGCTAATCATTATCCTGACTGAAATCCCTTACTAAAGTCACTGGTATATAAGTTTATGTTGTGCAGTCGAGATATGTTTCCACTCAGGGTAGGGCCTTGCCTATTAGTACTTCGAGTCACACTGTTGCATTTTTCTGAGTAACTTGGCAAGTACTCGGCGATTATCACTACTCGGTGACAATGTTGACTCGTCGAGTTACTCGCAGTGGCGGAGCCAGGAATGACATGTTAGGGGATGAGGTTTAAGAAATTTATATTAGGGGGCCAAAGCTTGAAATCTCACTATCTTTTTAATGTTTATAAATATTTATACATATGTATATACATCACAAACTTTTTCTTGGGGGGGGGGGGGGGCGAGGCCCCCACCAACCTTCCCCTGTCTCCACCCCTGGGTACTCGGCATCAAGTAAAATTGATTTTTTGGGGGTAAGTCTGAAAAATTTAAACTAAACTGGGACATTATGGAATTTATGAACTTTTAGTAGGTTTTTTAAAATTTGGAAAAAATAAGATTACAAAGTCAATCTAGGTTTGGGGACTGGAGGATGAAGAAGAAACTGATGACCTTAAACCAATGAAGATTAGTTTCTTTATGGAAAAAGTTCAGAATTAAGTATTATTAGGTGATTGATTTTCTTGGAAATGAGTGTTTATGATTGTTGGGAATTGTCGCTACTTCATTTATTAGGATTATTATTTTATTCATATTTAACAATTACAAGACTAATGCTCCCTTCGTCCCATTGGACTTTGCCAACTTTCCCTTTTTTATTGTCCCAAAAAACTTTGCCACTTTCCTATTAAAGCAACTAATTTGTGGTTCTGCTCATTTCTCTCTCCTCTGCACAAACCTCCACCACACAGTTTTTACTTTTCTAATTTCTCACCAAATTTTTACTTGGCAAAGTCCACCGGGACGGAGGTAGTATATTACTAGAACTTTGGGGCTATTATATTTTTAAGGTTAATTAATACAGGGCCGATTATTCGGTCCTAATCCTTACTCGGTTCTTGACCGAGTTGCCGCCGAGTAGCGATTTATCACAATTTCTTAGCACAAGAGATCCCTAGTAATCACTTAGCAAAAGAGATAAGATCACTAGGAGGGTACCTCAAAAAGATATGGAAAAGATGGTCCTGGGATGATTCACAATTTCCTGCAATTTCTTTAGTCTGTGACAAAACCAGTTAGAACAATAAATTCACCCCCTAAGAGATGACTCAACTCTACATTTACATCCTTTACTTTAAAAGACATTGGGCTAGAGGCCATCATCATGTTAGGCTCTCCTGTTTTAAGAATCACATTTGAACAAAAAATCCCCATCTTTTCTGTAAGCGATGCTCATGATTTTGCCTCTCAAGTTCAAGACTGTTCAGTTAACAATTCAACGTACTCACTATTCTTCATGAAGCTTATAAAATTGTGAGTCCCTCTGTTTCAAAAAGCCATGAAAAGCAAAAAACGAAGGAGTGAAGGACAACACTCCAAGTGACTTGTTTGAGAGCTCTAAGAGGTAGAATCATGCCTACTGAATTCAGATTATTTATGTCAACCTACCAATGCCAGAATTGAATTTAACAAGATAAATATGCTACTTCCTGTAAATAGTCATGTTAGACAGCGCACAACTTTTAATTTATGGTATGATACAATTTGTGTAAATCATTGATGATATGTAATTTACACATTATTTGGTGGTTTAACCAAATTTATCGTATCTAACTTGCTCTAACACGACCCTTTAATCAGCATACAATTTAACATGAGAAGTTTTCGAAAAATACTTCACATGTTTGAAATCCGTCTCTCTAGTTTTGGAAAACAGACTTTTTGGAATGCAGAGGGGGAAACAGATTTGGACATGCACTCTGTATGAAAAACATAAGTGCTGTATTAATCTGAAACTTAAACTGCGCATGTTGTTAAAGTGCTTGGGGATTGCAGAGGCCTAGCAACTATCATTTCTGTTTTCATTCCAAACCATTAAATGCCAGAAACCCTAGCTTCTAATTGTTTTAAGTGTAATTGAGTTACTGGGGCCTGAGGGTATTTTCGGAATGACGCACAACTCATAATTTACAAAACATTTAATGGTTTTTGGATTGTGAAGAGGCGTGCATTGGGGCACATTGGTGGCTCTTGTGGACACCCAGAATCCGAGATGTACTGTGAAAGAGTGGGCTGTTAGAGTTGACAATGTGTAGTGGTCAGGATAAGTAGCAAAAAAGATGGCAGCTAGTAACTGATATGGTCGTGCTAAGACTGTTATTTGTGGTTTACAAATATAAAGAATATACTAGTATGAAGTAATTCACAAGTAGTCATGTTGAAGTCCATTGACCTGTCCATCCGGTTCTTGCAGGACCCCAGGGATGGGTTGAATCTTTTGTTGTGGTTGAAAAGTCCCTTATAATAGACACGAAGCTAAGGTGATGAATCAATATAAGGAGAAATACCTAAACCTGAAAAACAATGTGAGATTCCAAATATATGAGTACGAATCTTAAAGCCATGTGCCCATGTGGTGTATGACTACTTAAGGCATTTAATGATCAATAGTATGTCTAAGAGTAGAGATATATTGATATGCACGGGAACCTGTGTTACAAGAACTGGGCAGGGGGGTGACCTGGCACTGAAACCAATCCTTAGAGTACTAACCCACTGTTATGGGCAAACCCGGTATTAACCAGTAATCCATTGTGGCCCGGACTGGTCCCAAGACGCTCCAAACCCGGAAAATTAAGAAACCCAGTGACTACTCTTTAAGAGTTCATTAAAAATACTATTCACCAATGGGATTCAAACTCTAGAGGCATGCTTGGATGAAATGGCGCAAGTCGCAACACCACTATACTTGTAGGATGGGTATGCTCTTTTTACTTTGTTATTGTGAACAAGTATTGTTGTATTTCATATACTTGATATTAAAATGCTATACAAGAAGCTATATTTATAGCTATATTTAGAGTACTAGGGTTTCCTATACAAGATATACAAATGGGCTAAGCCCAATACTACTAGGGTATCCACACTCCCCCTCAAGCTGGAGCTATAAATCATATGTACCAAGCTTGTTACAAATATATCCCACTCTAGGATTTTGATAGGGATGTCCAGATTCACAGAAATATTACAGAAAAGATGAACATAATTTAAAGGAACAATTCAAGAAACTGTATTGAAGAAGAACCAGAATCAATGGCCGAAGCCCCCAATGGCCGAAGCCCCCAAAGAAAGAGATTATTAGTCTCTAACTTCCCAGTACAATACAAAATGTCTAAACAGCCTCTCCCAATTTCTAACTGTAGTCTATTTATAGTAAGGAAGGCTAGCCCCCGGTAGTTATTAGCTCATAACAAACTAGACTAATAACAGACCCTATTTCTTTCTAAAATACACTTTATTAGAGTATTTATCTTCTTTTCTTCAGTTTAGTAAAGTCTCTATCAAATCTCCCCTCCTGAAAATCCAACTTGCCCTCAAGTCGGAAGGGTGGAATTTGTTGTCTGATGCCCTCAGGTTTCAATTCCATCTTCTGCTTCCTCTTCATCCTGATGCTTCGTCCTTCCCAATATCTCATTAATTTCTGATAGATGAGCTTCATGACTTGATCTTTCCAATTCACATATGTTACTGCAACATATATTGTCTCCGGTGAACTTTCATTCTCTTCAGTCTTCAGGTCTTCAATGGCTACAATTATTTTCATGCTTCCCTGAAGTATAACACTTACAACGGTAAGTGATAGGCTAAGAACAGTCTTTGCAGTGAAGTCTCCCAATTTTAGATATCCTCCTAATGCTTTCAATGGATTATGTAAGCCAAGCTTGTGGTAGTTTATCATGCTATCAACAATATGCTGCAATTCTGCTTCTTTTAATCCTGATAAGTCTTTAACAATTACTGTTGTGAGTTGCAGGGAACTTCTATCAAAGTGCTGGAAATGGTTAGACTTCTCATCTTCAGGAAAAGGTTTACGGTTTCCAAACATAATAGCAAATTCTCCTAAAAAAAAATCCACATGATCCTCCTGAGCCTCTGGCCCAGATTTCCTTTTATCAAGGCCCGAATATTCTGAAAACATTTCCTTGGGTTGTCTAGGTTCTTGACTTTTGATCCAAACAGCTTTGTCATCTGAAACGTTCTTGATTTTAAGTGCTCCAATTTCATAAGCAGTTAAGACTCTACTTCCAAAGAAACATGGGTGGATAAGCAGGTCAGCAATAGAAACTCGACTGGGAGTTAAATCCATAGCAATTTCAATATTAGGAGAAGCATAATCTGACGTTTGTTTAACCGGAAGAACCGTTTTTGACTTTAAGACACCTACAACTGTAGTTTGCTCCTCGATTTCGTCCTCCTTATTCGTTTTATTGATTCCAGATTCAATTGGTTTCCTCTCAATCTCCTCTATGGACGGTAGAATTTCTTGCTCAGGGACAAAACCATTTTGCGATAAAACTGGCGAACACAGAGAAACGACTTGAGAAGAGGAAGGGAAATAGTGAAAATCGATTGGTGACTTTCTTGGACACGAACTGAGGTCCGGAGAGGAATTCTGCGAATGGCGAGAAACAGTGCGCGACTTTGTTTGCGAGCTTTTGAGCGATGGCGACCTACCTCTTTTCCGCGATTCAGTCTGTGAACTTCCGCGCTCACTCTTTTCCGCGATATGCCCCATTTTTCCGCGCGACGCCTTCTGTGAGTGCGAAACAGAATGAACAGTTCGCGACTCCATATGCGAACTGGTGAGCGACTGCGATGAACAATTTCTAGGGTTCCCCGCTCGACGTGCTATGTTACCACTCTCTCCCTGATCGCAATTTCTTGCGTGTCCATGGTGCGCAGTACTTGATCTATGCGAATGACTCCTCGAGATTCTGACCTTCAATTCTGCGATGCTAGCTTGCATCGCCGCTTGCATCACGGCCATATTAGCCGCTATATTCGCCATCCTAGCTTGCATTTCACGCTGATTCCTCTCCACTTCAGTGAGTCGTCCCTCCATTTTCAGGCGTGGTTATCTCAGCGATCGACGTCTCTGATACCAATGATAGGGATGTCCAGATTCACAGAAATATTACAGAAAAGATGAACAGAATTTAAAGGAACAATTCAAGAAACTGTATTGAAGAAGAACCAGAATCAATGGCCGAAGCCCCCAATGGCCGAAGCCCCCAAAGAAAGAGATTATTAGTCTATAACTTCCCAGTACAACACAAAATGTCTAAACAGCCTCTCCCAATTTCTAACTGTAGTCTATTTATAGTAAGGAAGGCTAGCCCCCGGTAGTTATTAGCTCATAACAAACTAGACTAATAACAGACCCTATTTCTTTCTAAAATACACTTTATTAGAGTATTTATCTTCTTTTCTTCAGTTTAGTAAAGTCTCTATCAGATTTCTAAGAGACTTAGTTAAAATATCTGCAAGTTGTTCAGTTGTGTTGACATATTTTGTGATGATATGTCCACTCGTGAACTTCTCTCGGATAAAATGACAATCAACTTCAATATGTTTTGTCCTCTCATGATATACCAGTTTTGTGTTTCCATATTTTAACTCTTGGAGGAGATGCTTCAACCATAAGATTTCACATGTAGCAAGGGCCATTGCACAATATTCTGCTTCAGCACTAGATCTGGCAACCACATCCTGTTTCTTACTTTTCCATGAAATTAAGTTTCCACCAATCAAGATGCAATATCCCGAAGTGGAATGTCTATTCATCGGACATCCGGCCCAGTCTGCATCACAGTATCCCATAATATCATGGTGGCCTCGATCTTCAAACAACAATCTTTGCCCCGGAGTTTTCTTGATGTATCTCAAAACTCGGATAGCTGCATCCCAATGTCCGGTACATGGCTTATCAAGAAACTGACTAAGAACACTTGCCGCAAATGAAATATCTGGTCTCGTGATGGTAAGATAATTCAATTTGCCGATGAGTTTTCTATATTTTTCCTTGTTGGGCAAAAGATCTCCCTATTCTGATAAGAGTTTAACGTTCGGATCCATTGGTGTATCCACTGGCCTGCAATATAGCAAACCTGTTTCCTCAAGAATATCCAAGGCATACTTTCTTTGTGAGAGAGCAATTCCATTTTGAGACTGTGCGACCTCAATGCCAAGGAAGTATCTCAACTTTCCCAAGTCTTTTGTTTGAAATTTTCTAAAGAGATGTTGCTTGAGGAGCGCAATTCCTTGATCATCGTTACCTGTAATGACAATGTCATTGTGAAAGACATTATAGAATATTCTTTAGAATATGTTTTAGAATATTCTTCTATCTTTAGAATATGCTTTAGAATATTTTAGGAATATACTCTAGGATATTATTATTGTATAGAATCTTAAAGGAATATTCTATCTTTGTAATGTATATATATATATGGGCTTGACCCTCCAATGAAATACACACAAAAAATCATTCTTCTCATTACTATTCTATCTTTAATTCTTACAACATGGTATCAGAGCAATCTGTTCCAGTTTAGCTTAGCAGTATTTTTCAGAATCTCAGTTCATGCCTCAGCCAGAACCTTAGCCCAAAATTCAGAACCTCAGTCCAAAATCCACAGTTTCACATAGCATCACCTCCACCCTAAGCAGTCACGCCTTCCGCCGCCGACCTTACACTCGAAATCCGCAGGCCACACGCGCCGTCAGAGGACCTCGCAGACCTAATCGCAGACCCAATCGCCGGAGAATCCATCAGAACTATTTTCCGGTGTCTTGAACGGTATTATCTTTCTGTGACTTTGCTTATCAAGTAACAACGACATTCAAGGATAGTATTTTGGTCGCTGTAAGTTTACCTAATACATAGCATCTTATTTCTGCAATTAAAAAAAAAAACAAAAAAAAAACAAAAAAAATATGCCTGGTTCTGATACAGACACTTCCACCGTACAACATGCTCAGCCTTTGGTAGTTTCCGAAGTTATTCCCATTAATTTTAAAATTACTGAGAATAAACTTTGTGGCTCTAACTATCTTGAATGGAGTAAAACTATCAAACGTTATTTACGAAGCATTGATAAATACACCCACTTAGTTGATGACCCGCCAAAGGAGGAGATTGATAGAGCTGCTAATGCTGTCTGGCTTCGTGATGATTCTAGATTATTTATCCAGATTCAGAACTCCATGGAGAATGACGTCATGGGGTATGTTAGTCATTGTGATACTGTGAAAGAACTCTTTGATTATTTGGAATTTATGTATTCTGGCAAAGGTAATCTTAACCACATCTATGAGGTGTGCAAAGCCTTTTACAGGGCAGAAATGAAAGATAAGCCTCTCACAGCTTATTTTGTGGATTTCAAGAAAACGTATGAAGAACTTAATACCTTAATGCCCTTTAGTCCTGATATCAAAGTGCAGCAGAAACAACGCGAACAAATGGCAGTCATGAGCTTTTTGGCTGGTCTTACGTCTGATTTTGAAACAGCCAAATCACATATCCTATCTAGTGATGTGGTCTCTTCTCTTCAAGATGCTTTCAGTAGAGTGCTTCGCACTGACACTTCATCCACATCATCAGCACCTCAGCCAAGCAATGCTTTTGTAGGACAAGTCCCAACATTCCCCAATGGAGGTGAGAAGTGGCCACGCACAGGACCGATTGGCAAAGGAGTAGTATGCAACTACTGTAAGAAACCCAGACACTTGATCAAAGATTGTCGAAAGCTAAAGTTCAAAAATCAAGGAAATCAAGTCGCTCACATTGCTTCCGCTACACAACCATCTAATGGATCCATCATTATGTCTTCGGAGGAATATGCCAAATTCCTAGGTTACCAGGAGGCTCTAAAGCATTCATCTACTCCTATCTCAGCTGTAGCTAATTCAGGTAATCCAAACACATGTCTTGTATCTTCATCCTCAAAATGGGTTATCGATTCAGGAGCAACAGATCATATGACAGGTAATCCTAGTCTTTTTTCCTCATTCCACACACCTCTTCATTCTTCTAGTGTGACTTTGGCTGACGGATCTACGTCACCCGTTCTTGGTACGGGTACAATTGTCCCAACATCTACCTTACCTTTGTCACCCGTCCTAAGTCTTCCAAATTTTGCTTTCAATTTGATTTCGATCAGCAAAATCACACGTAAACTTAATTGTTCCGTAACCTTTTTTCCTGGATATTGTGTATTTCAGGATCTGTTGACGAATCAGGTTATTGGTAAAGGATATGAGTCGGCCGGTCTCTATCTCTTGGATACATCCTTACCCAAATCAATCTCTTGTCTTGGCATTGGAACTGTGTTAGAGGCTCACTATCGACTAGGTCACCCTTCTCTTCCGTTGTTAAAGAAGCTTTATCCTCAATTCAATAAGGTGTCATCTTTACAGTGTGATTCGTGTCAATTTGCAAAACATCATCGAAGTAGTCTAAGTCCTCGAGTCAATAAACGAGCACATGCTCCTTTTGAACTGGTTCATTCTGATGTTTGGGGTGCTTGCCCTGTTGTGTCCAAATCTGGTTTTAAATATTTTGTTACCTTTGTTGATGATTATTCTCGTATGACTTGGATTTATTTCATGAAACGTCGTTCCGAGTTATTTTCTCATTTTTGTGCCTTTTGTGCTGAAATCAAAACTCAATTTAATGTACATGTTCGTATTTTAAGGGGAGACAATGCTCAAGAGTATTTGTCTGCCTCATTTAAGTTGTATATGGCTCAACATGGCATAATTCATCAAACTTCATGTGTAGACACACCTCCCCAAAATGGAGTTGCTGAACGAAAGAACAGACAACTATTAGAAACTGCGCGGGCTCTTCTATTCCAAATGAATGTGCCAAAACATTTTTGGGCAGATGCTGTGTCTACCGCATGTTTTTTGATCAATCGAATGCCATCTACTGTTTTAGATGGTAAAACTCCATATCAGTGCCTATTTCCAAATAATGAAAATTTTCCTATTCCTCCTAAAGTTTTTGGTTGCACTTGTTTTGTACGAGATGTTAATCCCCATTTAACAAAGTTAGATCCCAAGTCATTAAAGTGCATTTTCTTAGGCTACTCTCGAGTTCAAAAGGGGTACAGATGTTTTTCTCCAAGTACAGGTCGGTATATTGTTTCAATTGATGTCTCCTTTTATGAAAATACACCATTTTCATCAACAGACACAAATATCTGTAGGGAGAATGATGATATACTCATTTACACAGTCACTATACCCGAGTCCAATACTTCAGCAGTTCTTCCCCATGTTACTTTTCCTGAGCCTAGGCCTCCGATACACTTGGTATACACCCGTCGACACAAAGTGCAAGATCACCCTCCACCTGTGGTTACTTCTCCTGATACTGATCCGATCTCATATCCTGAACCGACACCTGCATCTTCAGATCCTGTCTCTACGTCAGATCTTGATCTCCCCATCGCACTACGTAAAGGTACACGGTCTTGTACTCATCCTATTTCTTCATGTGTGTCGTATAATCAGTTATCATCTGCCTCATGTTCTTTTATTGCTTCCATTGATTCTATTTCTGTTCCCAAATATGTTAAAGATGCTTTGTCTCATCCTGATTGGCGTCATGCCATGGTAGAGGAAATGAATGCTTTGGATCTTAATGGTACCTGGGATTTGGTAGACTTGCCTACAGGGAAGAAGTCTATAGGATGTAAGTGGGTCTTTGCTGTAAAGGTTAACCCTGACGGATCCGTTGCTCGATTGAAAGCCCGATTAGTTGCGAAGGGTTATGCTCAAACCTATGGCGTTGATTATTCTGACACATTTTCTCCTGTTGCTAAATTAACATCTGTCAGATTACTTATTTCTCTCGCAGCAACTCATGGTTGGCACTTACATCAATTGGACATTAAGAATGCATTCTTGCATGGTGATCTTCAGGAGGAAGTTTATATTGAGCAACCTCCGGGGTTTGTTGCTCAGGGGGAGTATGGGAAAGTTTGTCGACTTCGCAAGTCTCTTTATGGTTTGAAACAGAGTCCCCGTGCATGGTTCGGGAAATTCAGCCAATCAATTGAACGATTTGGGATGATAAAAGGCAAATCAGATCACTCTGTATTTTACAGACAAACGAAAACAGGTATTACATTGCTTGTGGTGTATGTCGATGACATTGTGATTACAGGGAGTGATAATACAGGTATTTTGGCCCTAAAGAATTTTCTTCATAGTCAATTCCAGACGAAAGATTTGGGCTCATTGAAATACTTCTTGGGAATTGAGGTTACACGGAGTAAGAAAGGCATATTTCTATCTCAACGTAAATATGTGCTTGACTTACTAACTGAAACAGGGAAATTGGGGGCAAAACCAAGCAGTACTCCCATGATTCCCAATGTACAACTCACTCATGAAGGTATGCCATTCGAAGATCCGGAAAGATATAGACGGTTGGTTGGAAAACTTAATTATCTCTCAGTTACCCGTCCAGATATTGCATACTCAGTGAGTGTAGTAAGTCAATACATGTCATCTCCGACAGTGGATCATTGGAATGCTGTAGAGCATATATTATGTTACTTGAAGGGGACACCGGGACGAGGTATTGTTTATCAGAATCATAATCACATGAGAATAGAATGTTTTGCAGATGCTGATTGGGCTGGATCTAAAGATGATAGAAGATCCACATCTGGCTATTGCGTCTTTGTTGGTGGTAATCTCGTCTCTTGGAAAAGTAAGAAGCAGAATGTGGTTTCTCGTTCGAGTGCTGAATCAGAATATCGGGCTATGGCACAATCGGCATGTGAGATAATCTGGATAAACCATTTATTGAGTGAAATGGGATTGAAGACACCAATGCCTGCTAAACTCTGGTGCGATAACCAAGCTGCTATACACATTGCCAACAATCCAGTGTTTCATGAGAGAACAAAACATATTGAGATCGATTGTCACTTTGTTCGAGAAAAGATACAACAAGGATTGATCTCTACAGGACATGTGAAGACTGGAGAGCAACTTGGAGATTTGTTCACTAAAGCACAAAATGGAATTCGTGTTGGTTACTTATGTAACAAGTTGGGCATGATAAATATTTATGCTCCAACTTGAGGAGGAGTGTGAAAGACATTATAGAATATTCTTTAGAATATGTTTTAGAATATTCTTCTATCTTTAGAATATGCTTTAGAATATTTTAGGAATATACTCTAGAATATTATTATTGTATAGAATCTTAAAGGAATATTCTATCTTTGTAATATATATATATATATGGGCTTGACCCTCCAATGAAATACACACAAAAAATCATTCTTCTCATTACTATTCTATCTTTAATTCTTACAACAGTCATCAACATACACAACAAGATAAATACATTTGTTGCCAGCAGAATGTCGATAGAATATAGAATGATCGACATCACTGCGAATCATGCCAAAGCTGCAGACGACGACATTAAACCTCCTAAACCATGCACACGGAGATTGTTTCAAGCCATATAATGAACGACGTAATCTGCACACCATACCAGACTCCCCCTGAGCAACAAATCCAGGTGGTTGCTCCATATAAACTTCCTCGTGCAGATCTCCGTGAAGGAATGCATTTTTAATATCCAATTGGAACAATGGCCAGTGGCTCATTGCTGCCATGGATAAAATCAAACGAACTGATGCAATCTTCACTACAGGAGAAAAAGTGTTAGTGTAATCCAAACCATATATCTGAGTATACCCTTTCGCCACAAGGCGTGCTTTAAAACGATCAATCTCCCCATCAGGCCCAACTTTAACTGTGTAAATCCACCGACATCCCACCACTGATTTGCCATTGGGAAGGGGGGCTAAGTCCCACGTCCCACTAGAATGAAGAGCCTCAATCTCAGCCAACATGGCTTTACGCCATTCAGAGTGTGCCAGTGCCTCATGTGTGGTTTTAGGAATGCATATATGAGACAGGTGGGAAATAAAAGCATAATAAGGGGTAGAGAGGCGGTGGTAACTCAAAAAATTATATATGGGATGTGGATTCGAAGTAGAATGCGTACCTTTTCGGAGAGCAATGGGTAAATCATCCTGAGTAATTTCGGGTACTGGGGTATCCGATGGTGATGGTACGGGATCCGTCATAGGGGATTCAACTGGCGTGGCCATAATGGGCACAATTGGAGGAGGTCGAGGGCATCGATGGTATACTTGTAATGGACGGTCTGCCATAGGAGAGCAATTTGGGTGCTCATCAGATGGGGGGTTAATGGGAGTCTCCAGATGGATGGGTCGGAGATATGAGGTGAAGTCCAAACATGATGGGGTATCAACTGAAGATAATGGATAATAAAAGGACGACTCAATGAAAGTGACATCGACTGAAATAAAATGTTTCTTAAGTAGTGGAGAATAACAACGATATCCCTTTTGGAGTCGCGAATATCCAAGAAAGATACATTTTATTGACCTAGCCGACATTTGAGCTAATCCAGGTGTAGTATCATGGACAAAACACACACACCCAAACACATGAGGTGGTAATGGAAATAAATCATGAGCAGGAAACAAAATAGAATAGGGAATTTCATTGTTAAGAACTGAGGAAGGCATTCTATTGATTAAATGACACGCAGTGAGCACATCATCTGCCCAATATTGAGGTGGTGTGTGTGAATGTAATAATAGGGTACGAGCAGTATCAACCTAGTGTCGGTTCTTGCGTTCAGCAAACCCATTTTGTTGAGGCGTGTGAACACAAGAGGATTGGTGAAGCATACCCCGTGATGCCATGAATTGATTAAAGGATGCACTAAAAAATTCTTTAGCACTGTCACTGCGTAAAATTTTGATAGAATGACCAAACTGAGTTTGAACTTCAGCACAAAAAGTTTGAAAAATATGAAACAATTCAAAACGCTCTTTCATTAAAAACAACTGTTGGACAGAATAATCTATTTTAGGTTATTGGACAGAATCATCTATTTTAGGCGCATAGTAATTGTAATTAATTGTAGAATTGTAGAATTATCTCTTGCCTTGATTAGAATTGTATTTAAGGTAGATTATCTTTTTGATATTGTAGATCCTTTTATTCTAGGGAATCAATTAATTCCCAGGATTTCCAGGATTCTCTCTGTACCTATTTAAGTTCGGTAAATGAGAAGAAAATTAATTCCGCCTATTTTCTTCTTTTATGGTATCAGAGCCGTATCGCCAACTTCCATGCCAGGCCTGAACTCGAGCGATATCAGCACCAGCTCAACTGGTGACTCCGCCCGAACCAAACCCTGTATCGCTTTTGATTCTATGCAGAATCTGGCGATTACCTCCATCAAACTAAATGGAAGTAATTTCCTCCCGTGGTCACAGTCAGTCAAGCTTTTCGTCCAAGGAAAAGGCAAATTTGGCTACCTCTCAGGAACAACAGTTCAGGCAGGCCCCAAAGATGATGGATATGAACGATGGGAGGTCGAGAATTCCATGATTATGTCATGGTTGGTGAACTCGATGGAACCAGAAATTGGCAGAACCTATTTGTTTCTTCCATCCGCGAATGCCATCTGGGATGCCCTAAAGGAAACCTACTCAGATTTGGGGAATGCTGGGCAATTATTTGAGATCAAGACACAATTGGGAAAGGCGAAACAAGGGGAGAAGAGTGTAACTCAGTACTCCACTGATATCATGACTCTTTGGCAAGAGTATGATCTGTTTTGTGATTATAAATGGCACTGCCCGAAGGATGCTGCCCTCTATCGGAAAATTGTTGAAAAAGAAAGAGTTTTCGACTTCCTTGCTGGTCTGAACAAAGAACTTGATGAAGTTCGAGGGAGATTCCTTGGCCGAGACCCACTGCCAAGTGCACAAGAGGTGCTTGCTGAGGTTCGTCGTGAAGAGAGTCGTCGACATGTGATGCTCAGAGATGAATCCACCTCTTTACCCATTGAAACATCTGCACTGATGATCTCAAAACCAAATTTCAAGTCCCCACATCCTTTGCATCAGTCTAATAAGAATCAAGAACAGCCAATGTGTGATTTTTGTCACAAAATCGGGCACATCAAGGCAAAGTGCTGGAAGATTCACGGCAAGCCAGCTGAGTTCACCCCTTCCAACCGAGTCTCACGCAATACCAAAGGAGGCTTCCTCGCTGCATCTGGAGATCAAGCAAACACATCAAGCGACACCTTCTCTTTCACCAAGGATAGCCTAGAACAATTGTTTCAGTCCTGGAATACTCATCGGTCTGCTAATACCAACATCAATACTCCATATACATCGGTTTCAAATACCCCAACCTCAAATATCTCAGCCCATCCTTCATCATCTCTGGCGCAAAAAGGTATCTTAGCAGCCGCCCTTAGTGTAAGTTTAGAAAAATCCAACCCTTGGATCATTGATTCAGGGGCTACTGATCACATGACTGGGTCTTCCTACATGTTTTCTAATTACTTTCCTTGTTCGGGTAATCAAAAGGTAAAAATCG